TTATTATTCAGAATCTTTAACTTTTAAAATATTACTAAGTTACAAACCTTGCAAATAAAAGGAAATAAAATGCCGAATGTTCCTCAAAAGCACCAGAAGCCAGTCACCTTCCTCACCTGAGCTCACCCACCTATACACACCCTGACAACCACTTAGGACGCCGAGATGCAATAATAATCACTAGTCCCCACGATGACGTCACTTCCTGCCTCCAGTGGCCCTATAAAAGGCAGGCTGTCGAGGTGAAGTCAGTCGGCAGAGACACCGGGAGAGGAAGGAGGCTGCCTGATGCAGCAGAAAATTTAGCTCTCCAGAAATACCGAAAGGCGACCAAGTTTTGAAGCAGAATGCGTCTGTGAGCCGCTGGAAGACTGCCTGTAAATAATAATAATAAAAAACCCAAGCTTCTGATTAAAAACAAGAAAAAGAAAATAAAGCTTCGCTGTTTTGTTTTATTCCTGGAGAGCTTAATTCACCTCGTTTCCAACAAGATGATCGGGAGAGAAGTCTTCCTTCTGACTGTTTTATCCACCTGCGGTAAGTAGAACAATTAAAATGATAATAAAATACAATAAYATTGTCGAAGTTCTACGGTGTAAAAAAAAAAAGCTGCATGTAGAATCGAGGCTGCTCAGGTTCAGCACCAAGGACAGCGACTAACATTTAAGGACTGTTCGTTTCTCCTGCAGCTCTGTCATTGCCAGTGACTTCAGGTCAGCTGGAGAATGAGGACGTGAAGGTGAGATTATTTTATTTATTTATTTATTTTTCATATTGGTGCATCTTTATCCAAATCAAAACACTTTTATTAATTAATTTTGTAATTAGAAATATGTAATCCCTGCATTTTACCTTCTGAGCACCTTCTCCTCTGGGAGCTGCATGACTAAAATCAATAAGTACTAATTAGCCAATGGAGACTCTTGACCTCCAGAGTTTGGAAAAAACAAATCCACTGTATTTATTTATTTATTTAGTTATTTAGTTAGTTAGTTAGTTAGTTAGTTAGTTAGTTAGTTAGTTAGTTAGTTAGTTAGTTAGTTAGTTAAATTTTTTATTGTCATAGAATAAGCTTTGTAGAACAGGAAGTTAAGAACAGAACAATGCTGTGAATAAAAGACAAGACAAACAGGCGAAGAAATGGTCTTACATGAAAAAAAAGATCTGAGTTATCATTTGAAGATCCTTAAATAATTAAAACAGTGAGTAAATTTAATGAGCAAAGAGTGACAGAAGAATTGGAATGTATGAATAATTAATTTGGAGCAGCATCATAGTTTAATCCCAGTCATCAGTTTCTCCATTTTAAGCATCCGTTGTGATGACTTGTGGACGTCTCGGTAAAAGGTTGGTCTGATTTGTCCTCAGGTGATGAAATGCATCGTGGAGGCGCTGGCTGACGTGCTGTCGAGGCCACACCTCGTGCCCATCAGTCAAGAGTGTTTGGTCACACTGAAAACAGGTAAACACACACACACAAAACTAAACTAGTGAGGTTTTATAAGCATTATAAAAGCTGCATGGTGGTGTTGAATGACACAAAGGTCACTTTAAAATGGTTTGCTAAAGATTTCGTTCATATAATTTAAATATTCCTGAAGAGTTCCAAATATAATTACAATTTGAAATCTTCTGAATGTGTTTAAAATGCAACATAGAATAATTAAAATGTTCATGTTAAATGTGTCTAATGTTTACATTCATTGGCTTTCATAATTGGTGCAAAGCAAAGTTACATAAAGTATCTTCTGCAGAACCTAAATAGTTATCATTAAATCTGAAAAAAGCCAAAAACATTGGAATAAAATCAATAAAACTCYACGTTGTTGTAAAATTAAACTGGCATTAAGGCGTAATACAGACATGCCACCACTGACTAACTGGTTTTTCTATTTAGGATTAGTAGAACCCCATAAACATTTAAAAAATGTGTTTGAGCAATTAGGAGTTAAAATATAAGTAGATACTTTATTTAAAGTTAAAACTAAAAATTCTAGCCTCCTGAATACARCACAACAGCTCAGTGGTTAGCACTGATGCCTCACAGCAAGAAGGTCCTGGGTTCGATTCCTGGCTCAGACCTGAGGTCTTTAGTTTGCATGTTCTCCTCGTGTTTGCATGGATTTTCTCCAGGTACTCCAGTTTCCCCCACCCACAGAAATATGTACAATAGGTTGCCTTCAGACATCAAAAAGACATCTGCAATCTCATTGGGATTTGCCGGGTTAAACATTGGTAAAATTAAAAAAAAATAATAAACAATGACCTCAGTAGGATGCAGTGTTTAAGGACATTATGTGCATATTTTTATCATGTTTTTAGCATGTTCTCTCCGTGCATGCGTGGGTTTTCTGCGGTTATTTGACTCGTTTGTCTCTATGCGGACTTGCGACCTTTCCAGGGTGGGCCCTGCCCCTCAAACTGTTACTGCTGGATATGGGCACCAGTGACCCCTGTGACCCTGATAGGAAGAAGCAGGTTAAGATGATGGATGGATGGATGGACAGGTGGATGGATGGATGGATGGATGGATGGATGGATGGATGGATGGATGGATGGATGGATGGATGGATCTTACATTGCTGTATCTGTCAAATATTCTTTATATAACAACATCACAAATCTCCTTAAGTTCTGTTCTGGCAGTTGGTTTCAGTGCCACCCTAGGATTTTCAGTAGCCCCCACATAGCCCCCCTAATAAAGGGGTTWTGGAGGCACCACTGCTGATAACATAATAGGCCTAATAACATCTTGGAACAATTATTCACATTATTTTCTCAAATAATTTTTACTGGTAATGTTAGTTTTTAAAATCTGTTTTCAAGGCTAAAATGTCTAATTTTTAAAATCTACTCAATTCATGTTTACTTTTTCCAGAGGCAAGGTCAGAAAGGAATTACTAACTTGTTTTTTACAAACAGGTTTCTTATTCAAATAAAACCGTAACATAGTGGTGGTGGGGGGGGGGGGGCATTTTTGCATATATTATATTAAATTATCTAAACACAATTGTTAAAGATGAATACAGTATTTACTCCAAACACAATTTTAAAAGGAAATGGACCAAAAATGATGTAATTTTTGTGATTAATTCTCTTCTTTGTGTGAATGCCTTCAAGCATGAATACATAATAAATTATTCTTGGAATATAAGCAGATATAATGACTTTTTTYCCACTGTTAAGTTTTTATTCATAGTTGATCTTTTTGATAGATTTTTAAAACACAAAACTATTTATTGTGCCATGAAAATACTGTATATTTTAATATATTCAATAAACGTTCCAAACTTTTGCAAACAAACTCCTCTTACAGCCACAACTTTTTCCAGCACATGCACAAATTAAACATCAAGAGGTTTTGCCTTCTTCCAGCCAGCGAGTCTCTCACTGCTATAAGACTTCTTTTTTCAAATCCCCTCAGGGTGCCGAGCGTTCACATCCGACCTTTCAGAGACTTCACATTTATTTCTGCACAAAATGTTCCCATCAAAACTGGAAGTGAAGAGTCTTTTTAACTTGTCATAAGTCCTACAGAAGACAGAAAAAARTAACGTCTTTCTATGAACATTGCGGTCAAGAATTTTAAAGGTCTGAATCACAGTTTTTGCGTAGCGATTGTTTCTTTAAGGCCGAGTGTCAACATTAGTCACACAAAGCGCCTTAAATTCAAAACTTAGTCCAAGCCAAGCGCCAATCTCTGTCAATATTTATTAAAAAAAATGTTTACAAAATGTATTTAATGTAGTATTAAGCGCACACATACCTTAAAACATAATACATGATTACATTCATTCATTACACACATACATATCATTAGTATTCATTTATTATGCCTTACACTGTATTCACGACTAGTTTATTTACCATTTCTTAGAGATTTTATCACAATTCAGAAAATCTGTAGCCTGGTAAAAACCAGACTCTTGTCCTTCACTTTGCTTCGTACAGAGGGTCTGGACTTTCTGCTATTGAGAAGTGATTTCTTGCAGGAGGCGTGGCCTCTGTTGAAGTGTGTGCGTGTTGCTGTGACGGAGGCTAAGCTAAGAAGCTAACCTCAAATAACGTGCGCTGTAAACAACCCTACTGAGAGGAGAAAAGTACAGAGCCGAATGTGACGACTGTAAATGAGAGT